AAGAAAGACCGAAAACAATGAAGTCAGAAAGAGAATGGTTAGCTAGATTAAAATGGCGGGAAACTGGTTTGGTGGGATCGTTATTGCAAATATCATAAAGATGATCACCAAGACGGCGGCCAGTCTCGCCCACATACAAAAGATTACAGCGGGTACATTTAATACAATATACAACATTAGAAGTGGTACAAACAAAATGGTCAGTGATTTTAACAGTTGATTTAGGACCGACAACAGAAGTGTGAGAAGCTAGTGAGGACAAGTATAACAACGTTTACGAGAACAGCGAAAAGTACCAGGTTCTTTGTTAGAGGGAAGAGCTCCCTTGACCAAGAAAGAACGAAGATTACGATCACGTTTATAGGAAAAAAGAGGGCGGTTATTGAAAATAGCAGAAGTGCGAGTATCAGTTCTTTCTCTTTTACTCCGACGAAGGACTAGCGTCCGAAACGTTAGTAAGTTTTTTTTCATCTTTTCACAGTGTATAATTTACCTTTCCATCATTACTAATAAAATAAATCACTTTGTTATAGTGGGAAGCAAATTTGACTGATTTCAATTTGGTCCCTGTAACTCTCACACACTATCACTGCATAAATATTTTATGCAAACAGTTCTCAATTACGGTGCCAGTATGATTTCTATGGAGGAGGAAAACCAAAGAACCTGAAAACAAAAACGTCATTTTCAAAAAGCATGCACTCGTCACCACTTCTAAGTGAATCTCCCTATACTAGTTCTGCTGATGAACCTTTTTGTCTATTTGCAATAGGCCATTTGCACAACAGAATCACTGTTACTGGATGTCAAAAAAAATTCAAACTTCCTCCATTTAAATAACGTTTGCTGGATTAATATGGATTACTAATGTCATATTCAAATTCTTTCCCACAATTCTTTTTAGCAGTTAATTGTTTGCCAAACAGCAGAGCCTTCCCCAAGGGACCTTTGGTTAAATTGATTCTTTATCGAAGTGAACCATCAGCACGTGACTGTTTGTTGCAAATGGCCTATCATCTCCTTTGTATTTGTTGACGTTGACTATTACTTGGGTTTCCACATCTTCTGTTTACCTTGAAATGTTTCTGTGATCATGATATATTCATCAAAGTTTTTGTTATTGTAGTTGTAACACAAGAGGCGTACGAGGATTGCAGCTATGGTCGCAGACCTTCTAATGCTGTCGTTACCAGGACCACATCTGACAACAAAGATTTTGTCAACATTTTAGTCACAGCATCCAAGTACTGTCAGCCTAACACGACAGCTAGCAACTGTTCCGGATTCCTGATATTTGAATCCAGCAAATATGTTCCAGAAAAGAGCAATCTTCTTTTCAGGGACTCCACTAAGAAACTAGTCAGTGTTGGAAATAAAAACACCTATGACAAATGGTTAGGGGCCGGTTACATTCACGCTTTGGCGGTCCAGGGAGGTCCTGCATGCGCTGTTAGTGAAGCAGCAATGCTGAAACCTTTCTCGTATCTTTTTGTCGTGTGCATCATTCTGGGAAAGGTTTTCATTTAATTTTACTCAGCTGTTTGAAACGTTGTCTAGCCAGCCCAGAAGCCCATTTGTTAGCGCTTCACTGTGCACGTGATATAGATTAGGCTAGGAAGTAAAGTGTGTTTAGATTGACCGCATTTAATCAACAACATAATGCTTAGCTTTAATTGATGGCATAAGTATAGTGAGCCTATCATTATTCATTCTCTATTCTTTCACAATATTTTTAACTAAAAAACGTGAAAAAATAAAAAAGATGCACGAAGAGTAATGTTGTCCGATTTAAACTAAATTATAGTGCAGAAAGGGAGGGAGGTATGCACGCAAAATTGGAACATGCCCCGATTTGTCCAGCGTCCACTAAAAATGATCAGTCCCTGGATTTGTTGGGATTTCAAATTATACTTCGATGAATTTGAAAGCATTTTGAAAAATAGAAGTATACAGTATTTGAAAAAAATAGTCAACCGTTTGAAGTAAAACTGCCCTTTGGCTTATTCCGGTTGATAAAAGTGGACCCCCCCGCCCATTCAACAACATCCCTTTAAGTCAGTATAGTGACACCAAGGAAATCGTCTTGTTCAAGGGACAACAAAAGTGAAAGGATATCTAACATGCAAAAGCCCACATTTCCTTATCTATAAATACTTATCCTTGTGAAGTGGCTGTGGAAACTCTGCTACCAGTTACAGCAATTTCTAGGGAAAAAACGTTATTTTTCAAATTTTCATCTTCAGTTTCCTGTTCAAGCTCATCAACACGTCGGCGAAAGCGGCTGGTTTAATTTACTAAAGTAATATAGTAATAGTATTATGCATCTGGGCACAGTTGTACGAAGCATGAATAGCGCTATCCGATATGGATAAATTTCATTCAGTGGATAAATTTATTGGAAAACGACATCATCTTTTCCATCGACTTTTTTTTTTTTTCCTTTTAAACTCTGATTTCACTATTCTGACCAGGTTCTTGACCTCTTCTTTCTTGGAAGTACTGACTATGCCTATGCATAAATAACGACAAAAATGTCCGCTTTGAGGAAGC